TTTTTTTTTTTTTTTTTTGAGTGATTCTCACTCTTTTGCCCAGGCTGGAGTGCAGTGGTGCAATCCTGGCTCAGTGCAACCACTGCCTCCTGAGTTCAAGCGATTCTTCTGCCTCAGCCACTCGAGTAGCTGGGATTACAGGCGTATGACACCATGCCCAGCTAATTTTTGTATTTGTAGTAGAGGCCAAGCAAACTCCTGGCCTCAAGAGACCTGCCCATCTCGACCTCCTAAAGTTCTGGGATTACAGGCATGAGCCACTGTACCCATCTGCAGTATTAAATATTTCTTATTAATAAATTGGAAAACATCTTGGCAGAGTACATTTATAATATTTTTTATTAAATATGCTAAAACTAGTCATTTAGGAAATGTTACAGTTTATTAACATGTTATATAAAAATTAACTTAGAGACAATTATTTGTACAGTTTCAAATTTCATTTTTCTCTCCTAAGGGTGGCCCATATCATGATGTCTTACATAGTATTTTAGGGGCATACACGTGCTACAGACCTGATGTTGGTTATGTAAGTATTTGTTTCAATCTGTTTTTTGAATATAAGCATTTTATCTACACTCTTTATCAAAATATCCTATGTTGTATTAGCTCCCAAATGTCTGTATCTCTATGTCTGTTTTTCTTGGGCTTATCAATTTACCCAGTGAAGAATCTTTCCATCTCTTGCTGAGCTTATATGTACTTGAGACTGTCAGTTTTCTGGGGGAGCTATGGGAGATTTCACCATGCAATTTCTAAACTTTTATTTCATGTCCTGATGTCAGGGGGGTGCCTTGTCCCCCTCTTTTAACCTTCTTTTCCATGACTGTGCCTCTAGAGAGTAAACCTCCTGGGTTCCACCAGGTTAAAGGAAGGATACGTACCTGTCCCTAAAGGATAGGGGAGGGGATTTGCTCCTTTTACAGACTTTCACCCAATCCTATTTTTAGCTCTATTTCTCAATTTCACAGGTACCTGACAACTTCAGCTTCTGAGCCTTCAGGGTTTTACAGCAGAATTGGCTTGCTGATTGTTGGCTTCCTCCTCTGTAGATATTTTAGTTTTAACATTCTACACTTATTTAATTTACAATTTCTAAAACACTATTAACTATCTACTATATAATTTTTCATTCTTGTAGTCCTCATGGGTTAGTATTTTTTTTCTTTACTGTATTTTTAGTTGGATTTTTCAGGAGAACAAAGAAAAATGTGATGTTCAATTGCCATTTTTAACTAGAAGTTATAGAACTTTCATCTTCGCACCTTTGCCTTAAAATAAAAGAATGTTAGACATCTCTATAGGGTGACTGTCTGGTACAAGTTACTTTGTTCTGTTGCATGTTCATTTCTATGTTTGTTTACTCAATAAATATTGTGCACTTATGACTATATGTCAGGCATTGTTCTAGGTACTTGAAATACCTCAGTGAACAAAATGATTTCTTTCCTTACAATGCTTACAGTTTAGAAGAAAGAGACAATAAACAACAAACAAGTAAATCATGTTATATTAAAAGATAAGTGCTGTGGAAAAGTGTGGGATGATAAAGGGGGAAAGTGCCAGATTTAGTGTGGGGCAGGTCGTAGTATTTGGAAAGATCATCAGATAGTCCTTATAGAGAAAGTTAGATTTAAGCAGAGTCTTTAAACTCTCTTACTCAGGTATTCTGTGAATGAATTTTAAGAACACCTTGTATCCCCTTCACATGTTTAAGCTGAAGTTTAAAGTTTTTTATTATAAGTTTACTTGTAAATAATTTAATTTTTTAGCACTGGTTAAATTTGACATCTTATAGTTTTTTTAAAATGTCCCCAGGCAGGCCAGGCGAGGTGGCTCACACCTGTAATCCCAGCACTTTGGGAGGCCAAGGCGGGTGGATCACGCGTTCATGAGTTGGAGACCAGCCTGACCAACATGGCAAAACCCCGTCTCTACTAAAAATACAAAAATTAGCCGGGCATGGTGGCATGCGCCTGTAATCCCAGCTACTCAAGAGGCTGAGGCAGGAGAATTGCTTGAACCTGGGAGGCGGAGATTGCAGTGAGCCAAGATCGTGCCACTGCACTCCAACCTGGGCAACAAGAGCGAAACTCTGTCTCAAAAAAAAAAAAAAAAAAAAAAGTGCCCAGACTGGGCACAGTGGCTCGGGCCTGTAAATCCCAGCACTTTGGGAGGTTAAGGCAGGAAGATCGCTTGAGCTCAGGACTCCCAGGCTGCAGTGAACTAGGATTGGACCACTGCATTCCAGCCTGCACAACACAGCAAGACCCTGTCTCAAAAAAAAACAAAAGAAATCTGTAGTGGAATTTAAATACTGCAATGAATTTACGTATATCATAGTCCATTTAAAAAAGTATATATTAACAAACTTTTCATTAATATTTTACATTTTTTGCTTTTTCTCTGAACTTGTATCTCTTTCTTTTTTTATTTTTTTGAGACAGGGTCTCAGTCTGTCACCCAGGCTAGAGTACAGTGGCGTGATCATGACTTACTATAGACTTGACCTCCTGGTCCCTTGGTCCCGGTGAGTCTTCCACCTCAGCCTCCCAGGTAGCTGGGACGGCAGGCACAAGCCACCATGCTTGGCTAATTTTCTGTATTTTTTGTTAAGACAGGGCACTATGTTTCCCAGGCTTGTCTTGAACTCCTGGCTCAAGTGACCCACCCGCATTGGCCTCCCATAGTGCTGGGATTACATATGTGAGCTACGGTGCCTGACTGATACTATGATTTTTTAATATAATGTTGTATAATTAAAACAAAGTAGTTAATCTGCCCAACATCTGAAATATTTGACCTTTTTTGTAATGAGAGTATTTGAGATTTACTCTCTAAGAGATTGTGAAATGTACAGTACTCAATCATTAGTTGTGTTTGCCATGTTGTGTAATAGATATTAAAAAAAAAAAAAAATCAGGCCAGGCATGGTGGCTCATGCTTGTAATCCCAGCATTTGGGAGGCCAAGGTGGGAAGATCGCTTGAGCCCAGGAGCTTAAGACCAGCCTGAGCAACACAGTGAGACCTCATCTCTGCAAATAATAAAAAATTAGCCAGGTGTGGTGGTTTGCACCTGTAGTCCCAGCTACTCAAGAGGCTGAGGTGGAAAGATCGCTAGAGTTCAGGCTCTTGAGGCTGTAATGAGCCGAGATCGTGCCTGGGCAACAGAGTGGTACCTTGTCTCAAAAAAAATGAAAGTTACTCCTCATTTCAACCTGGAGCTTTTTGTACTCTTTGATTATCATCTTCCCTACCCCCAAGCCTCTGGTAACTACCATTCTGCTCTCTGCTTCTATGAGTTCGGTGGTTTTAGATTACACATTTAAGTGAGAACATGCAATATTTGCTTTTCTGTTTTTGCCTTATTTCACTTAGCATAATGTTCTCCAGTTCCATCCATGTTGTCCCAAATGACAGAGTTCCGTCCTTTGTTAAGGCTGAACAGTATTCTTTTGTATACACACACACACACACACACACACACACACACTCTCTCTCTCTCATCCCATTCATCTATTGATGTACACTTAGGTTGATTCCTTAACTTGGCTATTGTGAGTAGTGCTGTAGTGAACATGGGAGTGCAGATATCTTTTTGATATACTGATTTCAAGTCTTTTGGGTAATAGCCAGAAGTGAGATTGCTGGACCACATAGTAATTCTATTTTTAGTTTTTTTGAAGAACTTCATAGAGTTTTCTATAGTAGCTGTACTAATTTACATTCCTATTAACAGTGTGCAAGTTTTTTTCTCAACAACCTCATCAACACTTATCTTTTGTCTTTTTGGTAATAGCCATATACAGCAGTCCCCACTTATCCTTAAGGGATATATTCCAAGACACCAAGTGGAATATATAAGTTTGGGTTTTTTTGTTTTTGTTTTTGAGACGGGATTTTGCTCTTTTTAATTTTTTCTTCCTTTTTTTTTTTTTTTGAGATGGAGTCTTGCTCTGTTGCCCAGGCTGGAGTGCAGTGGTGCTATCTTGGCTCACTGTAAGCTCCACCTCCCAGGTTCACACCGTTCTCTTGCCTCAGCCTCCTGAGTAGCTGGGACTACAGGTGCCTGCCACCACACCTGGCTAATTTTTTTGTGTTTTTAGTAGAGACAGGGTTTCACCATGTTAGCCAGGATGGTCTCGATTTCCTGACCTCATGATCCTCCCACCTCAGCCTCCCAAAGTGCTGGGATTACAGGTGTGAGCCACCATGCCCGGCCAAGATGGGGATTCGCTCTTGTTGCCCAGTTTGGAGTGCAATGGCACGATCTTGGCTCACTGCACCCTCTGCCTCCTGGGTTCAAGCAATTCTCCTGCCTCAGCCTCTCGAGTAACTGGGATTACAGGTGCCCGCCACCACGCCCGGTTAATTTTTTGTATTTTTAGTAGAGACGGGGTTTCACTATGTTGGCCAGGCTAGTTTCGAACTCCTGACCTCAGGCAATCCACCCGCCTTGGCCTCCCAAAGTACTGGGATTACAGGCGTGAGCCACCGTGCCTGGCCTATATAGGGTTTTGTACTTGTCCTGAAACTGCAGATAGTGCAGAATCCTATAGATACT